ATATAAATATTTATAGGCTATTTGAAAGTTTGCGTCATAATTGTAGAAATAAGCACTTCAGTATAAAATGTTCATCCAAGACTCTAGTCTCAACGCTTAGATTCTTCGTTGGCGAAAAGTTGGCATAGCGTTCTCATACGTTTCGTATAATAACAATTGGGAAACTAACCTCCTGATTGTATTGTGTGCTCATTTTATTCGGAGTTTCAACTGTCTTAATAACGAAGAAAATAAAATAAACAAAATGCACCCATTTTAGAACAAATAATTTTTATCGAGTTCTCAGGGACTTTGATATCCAATCCATGAGTATAGATAGTCTTGTACATCGGCTAAGAGGGCCATCAAGGTCCCACATATCAGAATGATCTTTTCAATTCAAAAAAGGAGTGCATGACAATAAAAAGTTAGGCGCCCCTGTGCCAAACAAAACTTCAGTGAGTGATATCCCTTTGGGGCGTTGCGATAACATCAGCTCCGATAACAAGATGAATTGAAACGAGCTCGGCATTAGCGAACTTCAAAGCAAGCTAGGGCTTCTATCAAAGCTACACTGCCACTGCATCACTTTCCCGATAGCGCACGTTCTTTCCTAGACAAGTAAGCTCGCCACGTGATGCTGGTATATGGCATTCAAATAAATAAGTTATGTTAGAATTGGAGTAGCAGATAGGAAACTATGATATTTGAATGAAGATCAAGGTACTCACTCGTAAGTGATGACGTCGGGTGAAATTTAACTAGTTAACTCATTAATTTTAACTTCACCTGATATATTGTTGAGTTATTATAAATCAGGCATATAAAGAGTTCGTCTTGTATCACAACGAGACATTCTAATGATTATTTTCAATAATTCCGCAATGCAAACTCACTGTTTTACTCTCGAAGCCAAATTTTGACGCGTCAACCCGGAACGCATCCGCTCCCAAAGAAGAAAAATATTAAAGTAAAGGAAAAAGTCACGTCCCCGATACCAGGGGCTGAAAACAAAGCTTTGGCCGCGCATTTGCAAATGGACGTCATGAAGACCTCATCACACCCCGGCTGCATTGACATTGTTCGGCTGCACCTGCATAATCATCTACTTTAAAAGGAGACATCGTCGAGGCCTGAATGGGCTTCGAACATGCGATCCGGATGGCAAAGTTGACATTTGTTCCACATTTAATTCATTAATCTTTTATCTGTCTTCAATGTGTAATGTTTTCCACATGTCCGTGAAGGTTAGATTTCGACTTCAGCTGCAGCCTTATTGAGCATATTAAACAATAGACGAATTATTTGAAGTGATCAGAAAACTACTTCGTTGAAAATATCGTGGAATTATCTCGACTTCGCTAAACTCGTTGGCTTGCAGTTACGACCGCCAATTGTCACTGTCGTCACGCTAGGTCGTATTAAGAAAATTACATCCACCTGACAGTAAAACGCGATAAAAAAGACACCAGCACGACATACTAAAAAAGACACCAGCACGACATACTAAAAAAGACACCAGCACGCGTCCATGCCGTTGACAGACGCGACGGAATAATATTCTGTGAGTAGCCGAAATTATTGTGTAGCCAGTAGGCTGCAATTTCGCATTGAGCGCGGCAATGGCTAGTACAAACTTTTTTAATATGAAAAAGAAGCCCGTTAAAGCATTATTACATCTGAAGAAGACCGTTAAAGCATTATTACATCTGAAGAAGACCGTTAAAGCATTATTACATTGAGTTTTTTTACATCCTTTTGGAACTGCGCAATTACAACCAGCCAATTTTCTCGTGAATCAAAATTTCAGTTTTTTATTATCGCCATGTTTCGATCTCCCCAAGATGGTCCAGAGGTTGATTCATAAAAATAATAATATTAATAGTTAACTTAAAGATTGATTTGAACTTGTGATATATATCGATTTAGAAGCATGTAAGTTACCCTCCCAATTCTAATATTACGTACTCTAAGGAAATGACAACGAGCTAGAAACAAAAAGGTAGCTCAAAGATGCTTGGAAAAATGCAAACCTCAACAAGCAACAAATTGATGATAAATTAAGGCAAATTTTCAGATGATATTACCGCTGTAGCACCTCATTATCGCGTCGATACCACCGTAAGAACTGAGGTCGATCATCGCTACCTCAGACGGCGATAAATCGCGCGACGCCGCTGCGACGAGCGGCGAGGCGGGCGGTGGTGAGGTGGTCCGTAAATCAGAGTTGCTGCAAGTCATCATAAATCTTCTCTATATTGGCCCCATAAATATAAGGATTGGATTACGTGCTTCGGATATACTTAGTGAATAGGAATACCAAAACGAAGCGAACATGAACTTCATAATCGATTTCAAGCCCACAAACAAATTTTTATGATATTTAAATGAAGATTAGCTATTCACAAGAACTGAGAAACATCCGAGCCTCTACAATTTTATCATAAATTATATTCGGAATAATACGTAACGTAATAGGGTAACATGGGCAGCGAGCCCACTGCGGGTCATGAGCCCATAGCGGGTTTCTCGCTAAGTATGGCAGATATTGGTCCGTGTTCTCTACCGCCGGTCGACAGTTTCACTGGGATGAAGTGTACGTATTTACGTTTTGTTAAGTATTTTCGTTATTAAGTTATTTGTGAATAACTGTTTTAGCCCAGATAAAAATTTTTTTGCTGCTAAATAAACTGTTTTCGATTACTGAAGATGAAGCTTTTGAAATTACTGTGAATTATATTCTGAAAGTAATATTTATAGGAATAATTTTGCGATCAAGTTTAGCTTTTAAAATAAAATGTTGACACGATATAAATTGAAATGATACCTAGTGGGGCAACGGGCCCACGCGTGTCACCGGGCAAAGCGCCCATGGTGAAGTCTTGTGTTATACATCATTGGATTTGTCTCAATGACCTTTTCAAAACTATGACTAGCTTTTTGAATTACAAATTACACTTCATATTGCATGATTTTTTGATTTGCCGCCCCAAGGCAGAAGGTTTAGTTTCTAGTTATGCGTATTTATGACCCCTTATCGAGTTTTTGACTTTTGCCTTGCCAAAAGTTGATTTCAGCCAACACCAATGAGCCAAAAGTTGATGAGTTTCTATGGTGTTGGCTGAAATCACGATTAGGTACGAATTCTCTGCACATAATATCTGGATTATGGACGAAACTGGAACGAAGCTTTTTTCTGATCAACTTAATATATTTTTTCTAGTCAAGGATACATTTTTTTCATGTCAAGGACGAATTTTTTATCGCAAGGATATATTTTTCAAGTTAAGGATATATATTTTTATGTCAATGAAATATTTTTCTTCACGTTAGTGATAGATTTTTTAGGCCAATAGTATATTTTTTTCAAGTTAAAGGATATGATTTTATGAGTTGTTAATAAATGAATGAATGTCATATTTTTTATTACATTTTTTATTTTTAACTGTGAAGTGTTGTTTTATCATTTTTAAACGAAAAATATGCAATTGTGGTAAAGGGACCAAGTGTGGGCGCTCTGCCCCAAGCCCATGGGCCCATTGCCCCAGGGGTGGGGCAATGGGCCCAATTTGACACTTTTTACAAAATAGTGCTTCATTAAAAATTGAATAACTGTCTAGGCGTCTAATTCACATCATACATTCCTCATTAGTTGTACCTTGAAACAAAACAAAGAACCACCTCGTATCAATTAAAACTTCATCAAAAATTTAGTTTAAAAAAGGGGGGCGCTGCCCCATGTTGCCCTATAAGGGTAACTTATCCCAAATTGTAGCGTTAAATTGAAAACAATTTTTGATCATAAATTAGTTGGCATCCGTCCATCTCGAGAGATGATGGTGTGCACCCCTTCCGTCATCACACAACACGCTGTCGGCAGCGCCTCGAGTGGCTCGTCAGGCCGATTCGGGCATGGCAGTCACGACCGCAGTTGGCGCAAATAAAGCCCGATGGTGCGACGATGTTGTTCCTTGTCTGCTGTCTGGCTTTCCGGAGACGGTGCTTGTCTTCAAGCTCATGGCTGCGCAGCTCCTCACCCCTCCGGACTCCCTCCCGAACGGCCCGCCGCCAACCGCAGCGGTCGACCGCAAGCCGCTCCCAGGTTTGGGGGTCGATAAATGCTGTTCTGAGGCTGCGCTTGCGGACGTCTTTGAAGCGCAAAGCCGGACGGCCGGTCGGGCGCGCGCCCGCAGCTAGTTCCCCGTAGAGCAGGTCCTTGGGAATGCGACCATCCTGCATGCGATGCACGTGTCCGAGCCACAGGAGACGACGCCGGCACAGGAGGAGATGCATGCTCATTGTGCCGGCTTGTTCCAAAACAGCTGTGTTTGTGACCCTGTCCTCCCATGTGACCCTGTCCTCCCGGAGGCAGCGAAGGTGAAAGCACTCTAGACGGCTTTCCTGTTTGGCGTATGGGGTCCAGGTTTCGCTGCCGTACAGAAGGGTACTAGTGACGCACGCATGATACACTTTCAGCTTAGTGTGAAGCGACAACCGCCTGTTGGACCACACCCTTTCGTTCAGTCTGGCCATCACACTTGACACTTTTGCAATCCTCTTGTCGATCTCGCTATCGAGGGACAGGTTGTTGCTGATGGTAGAGCCCAGGTAGGTGAAACGCTCGACGACTTCGAGCTGATTACCGTCAATGGTGATAAATGGGGGCACTACAACATCCTGACCCATAACATTTGTTTTCCTAATGTTGATTGTCAGGCCAAACTCCCTGCAGGCGTGAGCGAAGCAGCCCAACAGCCTTTGCAGATCCTCCTCGGTGTGGGAGGACAGCGCCGCGTCATCAGCAAAGAGCAACTCTCTGATGAGGACAGCGCGGACCTTTGTTCTTGCTCTCAAACGAGCCAGGTTGAAGAGTTTGTCATCGCTTCTGGTGTGTAAAAGGATGCCCTCAATTGAGTCCCTGAACGCGAACTTGAGCAGCAGTGAGAAGAAGATGCCGAAGAGAGTAGGGGCCAGGACACAGCCCTGTTTTACTCCGCTTTTGATACTAAAATTGCATTGTATCATGTATCAATTGCATTGCCATCATGGCTGACTATGCCCTGCATGTCGTCATGGAAGGAAGAGACGATGCTGAGAAGACGGGGGGGACAACCTATCTTCCTCAGCAGCAAGAACAGACCTCTCCGGCTGACAAGATCAAACGCCTTTGTCAGGTCGATGAACGCAATGTACAAAGGCCTCCGCTGCTCACGGCACTTCTCCTGCAGCTGGCGTAATGAGAAAATCATGTCTGATGTGTCTCTCTGGGCTCTGAAACCGCACTGGGATTCCGGGTAAACGCGATCAGCGAGTGCTTGTAGGCGACCGAGCACCACACGGGCGAAGACCTTGCCCACAATGCTGAGTAGCGATATCCCTCTGTAGTTGTTGCAGTCGCTACGATCGCCTTTGTTTTTGTACAAAGTGATAATCTTTGCGTCGCGCATGTCTTGCGGTACCTGGCCCTCCCTCCAGCAAAGACATAAGAGCTCGTGTAGGGGGCCAAGTAAGGCCGGCTTGCCACTTTTGATGACCTCTGGGGGTATTCCATCTTCTCCAGCTGCCTTCCCACAGGGGAGGATGTCGATGGCATTGTTTAGCTCTTCGACAGATGGTTCAGCATCCAAAGCATCGAGGGAAGGCAAGTTCTTCATCGAGGCGTCCAGCGCTTCCTGCGAGACGTTGTTAACGTTGGAGTAAGCCGCTCTCAATACCTGTAGGTTCCGCTGGCTTGGATCACTTTTGTATTTAAGCATTGCTCTTCTTTTGCTGCTGATTGCAGGCTCCAACTCACCGACGTTGGCCCCAAACCAGTCAGCACTATTTCGCTCCTTTATGCCATAGGCCAAGACAGCAGCATTATAGATGGCGCTGCGGAGAGAGCACCACCCACCGACTGCGCGCTCTGCTCGTTCGGCAGGAAGCAGCTCCGCAAGATGCTCGACTAGAATTTGGTATCTAGCGGGACAGGAGGCCTTGCTGGCATCAATTCTTGGCTGGCATTTCCTCTTGAGAGTATGTAATTTCTTTGGTTTAATTTTGATGTTGGAAATGACCAAAGAGTGGTCAGTATCGCAGTCGGCGCTGTGGTATACTCTTGTGTTTCACACGCTGTTCAAAGAGCCGCGGCGTGTGATAATTAAGTCCAGCTGGTGCCAGAGCTTCGATCTGGGATGTCTCCACGATGCCTTGTGGCATAGTTTGTTCTGGAAGAACGTATTTGTCACGCACAAGTTGTGGTGGCAGCAGAATTCCAGGAATCTCTGGCCGTTTTCATTCATTTTCCCGATGCCGTGATGACCCAGCACTTCAGGCCAGGACTCGTGATCTGTCCCAACTCTGGCGTTGAAGTCGCCCACGAGGTAAATATGCTCCGGCATTGGGATCCTGTCAATGGTATTCGCCAAGAGTTCGTAGAACCTATCCTTGGTCTCAGGCGGTGCCTGGAGCGTTGGTGCGTAGACACAAATTATGTTTGCAAAACCAGCCGACGTTGAGAGACGTAGGGTGAGGATTCTCTCCGTGCCACCATGCCGGGGCTCAATCGTGCGAAGCAGGGTGTTCCTGACGGCGAAGCCAACTCCATGCTCCCTCACATCCCCGATACCTCTCCCCTGCCAGAAGAAGGTGTAGTGTTCCTCTCTTAGGGAGCCATCTTCTGGGAGTCGAGTTTCCTGCAGCGCTGCTATATCCACGTTTAGTCTATGTAGCTCCCTGTCAATCACTGCGGTCTTGCGAAAGTCTGAAATGACACGGAGGTCGTCGGACAAGCCGGTGCGCATCGTACGCACGTTCCAGCTTGAGATTCGAAGTGGTGGAGACTCCATCTGCTGCTGCGGTACAATGACTCCCACTGTCGAAGTCAGACCCCGGAGTCCAACTCTGCGCTAGTTGGGCGAGGAATTAATGCCCGTTAGTTATCGTAGTTAACGTCTTTCGTTTGTGCTCACACACCGAACAAGCGTGACAAGCGTGACCTCAGGGGCACAAGCCTGGGCGGAAGTATGGAGATCTTGCGCTGCCCAAACAACAGGATCTCCCTCTCGGTCGTGCCGACTGGGTCCAAGGGAATGCAAGCATTACGTTTGGAGCCGACTTGACTGCAGGAGTTGCCGGGAGGACGTCCAAGTTGACATCCAGCCGCCTTAGGGACTCCGGCTCCAGATTTTTCCTCGAGGTTTACTCCTGATCATAAATACGTTATAACTATTACGTTACGTTACTATTTTATTACTATTACTATACTATTTTATTATTATTACGTAAATACGTTATAACTATTATTATACGTTCTAGGATATTTTTCTAAGGATCACCCAGAACTTTCATCTTAATTAACCTTACTCTGACTTTTACCCACATGAATGATTATTATTTTAGTCGACGTTTAGTGTTGCTAGAGAAACGTAGTTTCCGAACACTGGGCTGCAAATCAGAAGCCAAAAATATTTCTCTACGCCATTTTGATGCAGAAATTAAACTTCTTCGTTTCATGCCTACTTATTTGGTCACGCGCCTCTTAAGTTGAATTTAACACGAACGCTCGACCCTGGCACGCTGGCGCTTGGCTAAGATGAATTTATCGAGGCGTCAATACCTGCTATCGCGCGCAGGTCTGTGAAGACATCGGATAGAGGCGGCAGCTGCGGTCAACACGAGGTGTCCCGAGGGACCGATGTTATGTGATGTCTTGCGCTGGAATCTAGCTGCCATCAAGGCCCCACATATCAGAATGATCCTTTCAATTCAAAGTTTCATTGACAAGTAATTCATTGAAATTATTAAAAAGGAGGAAACGCCATTGAAAATCATTGAAAAGGAGGAAACGCAAATATTTTGCGTAAATTAGGTTTTGTACACAATTTGAAACTCTATATGCGTGGTCATAATTTTTTGCTTATAGAAGGAGTACATACATTTGTACTTATTTCAGTTCAAGTTTGATCACCTTCAAAATTCGCCGTTCTGCCAACAAAAAACTCGTCGGCTTAAGCCTTAAAAAAAATTATATTAAACTATGCGTCATAAAAATTTTATCTAAATCAAGTTTTATTGAGCACAGCAGTTCTTAATTTTGTTATTGCTTCCCACTGTAATCATGCAAATCCATACGTTGTCAGCGTAAGCATTCACACGCTACGTACCCTACCAGACCAATGACGTTAAAACTATGCTAATAAAAGATTGTTTCAACGTTTCCACCTTGTAATAAACTTTGTTTCGATGGCATTTGCATTACAGAATTATTTTGATTATTTTGCGATGGGCTTTAGTCCTCATGATTGTAATGCAAGTTTTTCCAGCAGCCACTACCCGTCGCCGAGGCCTTCTCTTATCAATATCAGGGATCATCAATAACGCGGGCCACAACCAAGCCACTAATGAAGACAAACGCGTTAATGAGGATACCAACGAGCGGTCGTTACGACTTGATCGTCCACGCTGGACTTTTCTCTGGAGGGATTGGAGGGAGTGCATGAGGTAGGGCAAGTGCATTTATTGATAATTATTTCACTTTTTATTTACTTGTCAGGCTCATTCGTTAGGATTGAGTTAGATGCTATGTAGCAGATACATAATTTCAAATTAATTCGCGATCCTGAGAAGTTGTTGTACTAAATATTCATGGTTTTAAGCACTGACAACCTTGTTATTTTTTAGTACGAAAACCTTCCTCGCCAAACTAACCTAAAATTACGAAAATTTAATTAAATTTAAATCGCAATTGAAATTCACCGTAATATAGCGATTTCCGAAGTAAAGAAATCCATCAAGCACAGAGTCGAATGGCTGCTAATTTTTGTAATGAAAATCTGCTGCGTATACTAACTAATTTTATTCCTGGTATAGGTTGATGTATTGTTCACCTGCCGCCACAGTACATTCATTATTATACAGCCACAGTGACCATTATAAGGAAAAGTAAAAAAAATAAGATTTCTTCGAAAATGTATGTCTCCTTTGCTGAAGGTAACCATAATGAGTTTGCTTTCATCTCACTGTGATCCTAAGATTTAGTTTGTGAACTGAGGGTCTCAGGAAAAACGCATTAATGGTCAATAGGCTCATCTCTAGCAAGGTTAGACTTTACGTGATTCCCTCAATTTCTGAGCGGCAAGAAATTCACAGACACGTAGAACAAAAAGCGCACTCTGAGATGCGGACGTAATGCAGTTGCCTCATATTAAGGCCTGCCTGAGGACCTGTCTGTGGGAGGCCGTTTTTTATGTGTCTGTCTTCAAGATCGCAGCGCCAATTTTAGCTTCTGCTCCCAAAGAGGAAGGCGAGAAGTCCTATTTGCATACGAGAAGACGGGACCAGATTATTGTGAATTGTATAAATCTTTTTACAAACTCTAACGCCAATCCAAGCAAATAGTTTGAAATTTAATTCTAATGAACAAATGAATTAACAATCATGTTAAACGAAGTTTTAGGCTCTAAAATCATCTGTAATACCTTCATTCGGTTTTCCACGCCTGCTATAACAAATCTACAGGAGACAGATCACGCGCTGCCATGTAGTAATTTATTAAAGTAACAACAATCAGTTTGTGCTCAAAAGAAATAGATCATTGGGAGACGTCCGACGAGGATGGGAGCTTGGAGTCTAGAACCTTAATACATAAAATAGCTAATTCTTAACAGCTCCGGTCCGCAATACAGTCACGACCGTAATGTTAGGAAACCCGCTATTTTGCCATAAAAATTCCTTACACCATCTTTGCCGAGTACACCTCACAACTCCTCTGCTCTACGCATTATTGCGAACAACAAAAACCAAACAGAAACCAAGCAGAATGAGAATTACGTCTTAAAATTAACCCTTTCCATTGCTACTTGAAAGTCACAAAAAATACTCACCCACTCTTAATCAAATTGACATTGAAGAGGATTATGCTCGACGCTCTTTTTTTGTAAGGTTTATAACGCGAAAAATATCAAATGTAGGAAGGAGACCACTAAGAGATTAATGTTGCAGCACGCGGGGCTAAGAACAACAGGTGTGTTTTTCTTGCGGTTCGATACTGGATTAGACGGGGAGTGGGAGGACAAAATATAGATCAGTATACTCACTGCAGTGAGTGACAGAGAGCGCATTTTCTCGTCGACGAAAACTTGAGGTCACGGACGGACAGACAGACAGACATGGCGAGCACAATAGTGCATTTTTTCCATAAATGAGAAAATGCGCTAAAAAGCCTAGCCATTATTGCGGGCTCATGACGAGTTTGGGTAGCAGAATGACAGTCATGCCAGACATGATTTTTAAAAATTAAGTAATTGATGTGTGGAAATTGTAAGGTTTTTTGTCAGTAAATTCAATAAACTGAAACTGAAAAATAGAAATCACCTCATGGAAATTCCACATCAGGGAGGGGCTTGCACCTCAGAACTGGGCTTGCACCTCAGGACTGGGCTTGCACCTCAGGACTGGGCTTGCACCTCAGAACTGGGCTTGCACCTCAGGACTGGGCTTGCGCTTCAGAACTGGGCTTGCACCTCAGGACTGGGCTTGCGCTTCAGAACTGGGCTTGCACCTCAGAACTGGGCTTGCACCTCAGGACTAAGCTTGCGCCTCAGAACTGGGCTTCCACCTTCGAACTTCTATACCTTCTCGAGATAATTTTAGCATAGAGGCTATACTCGTACATTTCGTTAATGTTATAAGATAATTGAATGTGCCACGAAGTTTTTAGAAGTAATGAATTGATTTATTTTGTATGCTTGTTGTTCCATGACTATCATCATTGACGATGGTACATTTTCAGCATGAATATTTCAACAGAGCCAAATAAAACATTATCCCATCATATTAACATTTAAGTTTTTCACAAAAAAAAACTCTTTTATTATTTGAAGGGCAGCATTAGAACTAAATTTTCACTTCTTAGTTTACAAAGTGTGCTCTACAATGAGAAGAACGATTTAGAAAAGTTCAAGAGCAGCTGGGATCTAATTGGTCCTCTCACATATCAGGTAAATTTCTGACAGTTTTACATCTTACGCATTAGTGAGGAGAAAACAATTTAAATGCGGAAAAACAGTCCTTATTCCAGCCATTAAAATCATTTATGAACCTTCCAAATCAATAAAGCTCGCAGACTGAACTGATTTTATGTACTGAAACTGACACCCGTGCTTGACCTGAAGGGAGAAACCTCGAGTTTCTTCATAAGACACTTCTCTTCCCAGCTTACGTCAGGTACAAGAGCGTAAAATGTTACATAATAATAATGCAACACGAAACTAACTCGAAAGCAGGCAGGTACTGCTGCTAAATTATAACTTTAGGAGCCATCATTGTTTGAAAGGTTGTAAGAAAAATACCCAAACTGCATAAAATTCCTTAACAAATAAATTTTGTAAGTTGTCCGGTTCCCATCCGAAACATCCTATGATTTGCCGTCAGTATCACTTTAGCCGCGGTGGGGTGAGTTGTCAGGCTGCGGTGGCTGCGTTGCTCACAGGATAGCGAGCCTAGCACTCGCCACTCAAGAAACAACTTAACGGGCTAACTATCGTGATCATGCTGACCTTACTAACTGTAAACTGAAGTCAGTCACTGAGAATATTGAAGGCTAATGCCAGTATTTTGATAAATAATGAGATATTAAACTCAGGAGCAGAACTAGACGCACGAAAGGTCACGGAATGTCTGACTAAGGCATTAGTCCGCCGATATGGGCCAGGGGCGTCCATCATCTCTCGTGCGAATTTGAACTCTCGAGGAATTCATTCCTCTCGGTGAAAATTAATAAAAAGCTCATGCTTTAGGAATATGTGACGATTCATTATTTGTACAACGGTGCATTTTTTAATAAAATTCCTAAACTATTTAACAAATTCTTGGAAAGAATTCACAAGCTTAAACTAAATGATTGATATGGAATGTATTGAAATCTTACAGAGCAGCACCGTAGGCTTTTACGAAATGATTGCCCTCTCAATGCTTATCGTTATTTAGCCAATCAATATGAAGACTGGCAAGCTACTTGCACGATACTTCTCAGCAAACTCGTCATTCATTCAGAGCAAATAATCAATCGAAGAGAAGGTAGTTCAAATCTTTGTTCGACTTGTATGTACAGTAAGTGTACTCTTTTGTTTGAATTGTAGTGCAGACCTTCGTTTGAACTGCAATACAGGCTTTCATTTGAATTGCATGTTTCACTTACTATATAATAATAGTCAAAAATATAAATAACAGATAATTATAATATGATATTAATTCAAAAAATATCTGTAAGGCACGCTACATGTACTCAACAATCCTCTACTGTACGCAGTTCAGTACTAACTCAAGGTCGCAATTATTTTTTGTTTCTT